TCAAAATATAAATCTACCCAGAGAAGGAATATACGTCCCATAGAATAAATTAATAGTGATTTTGCAGCATATTTAAATGATGCAGTGCAGAAGTCATGAACTTTTCTAACTGTGGATGACACTACTGATGCAAGTGTCACAACACATTTGTTGCTACATATTCGAGATGTGAACGGCAAACTTTATATCATTACTTCATTGTTTCGTGTGGAAGTTACGAAAGGCATGGCTGGTGACAACTTGTATGAAAGGCTATCAAGAATTCTTGAAAGACACAAGTTATCGAGGAACAAGTTAATCACTGTGACCACAGAGAAATCATAGAATTTGAGACATAAAGCCTTTTTAATAAGGCAGCATGATATAGATAAACGAACTGTGGCCTACTAGCGATTTGTTATTATTTTACTGCCCTGTTCAAGAGACACTCTACAAAGTTGTTCTCTATAGAGAGAATTGTAATTACTTGTAGTTACAATTCTCTCGCTAATTCACGTACCCGGCTTCTGCCTACGGCACACACTAAGTCTTCTCAGTATCTCTTCAATAGTCGTTGTTCGGTTACTGTTCCCAACAATGTGGATTAATTTATTGTTCCCGTGCTCATCGGCTCCTCTCCTCGCTGGATGGTGACTCCCTCACAACTATCTACCTCGGTTGTTAGGTTAAATTGCTGCTGGTCCTCGCCAACACAGCGATTCTTGGTTTCTTCTCTCCTAGATATTTACATGTTTAGAGGTGGGACCTCCTCTTCAACGAGGGGAAGGGTCGGACTTTTTGTGTAGGCGTTGAGTTTGTTTCACGGTAGTTGCAGAATCATCTGGCTGACTGACTGCTAAATTGCTGCTGGCCCTCGTCATCACAGTGATTCTTGGTTACTAGTCCCTCTGGACTCAAGACTATATTTTATTGCCTGATCAACTCATTGGCAACGCACCTGGAGGACCAGATCCCTGCATTTATATTCCCCAGCGGCATGGTGGTCCACTTATACTCCCAAGCACCTGATTATCTTCTCATCGCCTTCTAAGACTCTTAGGGCTACGGTGGAGGTATTCTAAATCGCCTCCACAAGGGTACAACTAACTGTTTGAAGTCAAAATCCCTTAGAACTGACGGTCAATCGGCCAGTCTCCTTGGTGTCAAGCCCCATCTGGAGTCCAAGAACAGACTTTTGTTACTATCAGAGAGTCGTGGTTTTGTCGATTTTGGGCGCCCTGTCTAAAGAGAGGACGGGTCGGTCAGTAACAGCGATCATAGTCAGCAGTACATGACATCTATATTTATAATTTTACTAGCCGAAATTTTACATAGACAGATTCCTTATGGATACATTTTATTTACATTTGATTATGTAACTGTAACTGTAGTAATTAAGGGGCGACTGAACTCTGGTAATGCTTGCTACCATTCAGTCCAGAACATTCTGTCCTCTCGTCTGCTGTCCAAAAACATAAAAATTAGAATATACAAAACTATACTTTTGCCTGTGGTTCTGTATGGGTGTGAAACTTCGTCTCTGACATTAAGGGAGGAACATAGACTGAGGGTGTTTGAGAACAGGGTGTTGAGGAGAATATTTGGACCGAGGAAGAATGAAGTGACAGGAGGTTGGAGAAAACTGCATTATGAGGAGCTTCATAACTTGTACTCTTCTCCAAGTATAATTAGAATGATCAAGTCAAGGAGGATGCGGTGGNCATGTGGCACGAATGGGGGAGACGAGGATTGCATATAGGATATTGGTGGGAAAGCCAGAAGGAAAGAGACCATAGGGAAGACCAAGGCGTAGGTGGGCGGACAATATTAGAATGGATCTTAGAGAGAGAGGATGGGATGGTATGGGTTGGATAGATCTGGCTCAGGATAGGGACCAGTAGAGGGCTCTTGTGAACACGGTAATGAATCTTCGGGTTCCACAAAATGCTGGGAAATTCTTGAGTAGATGCAGAATTGGCGGCTCCTCCAGAAAGGCCTCAGTTCCATGAGTAAGTAAGTAAGTATATGTAACTGTAGTATGCGAGTATATGTATGTGCAATATATACAAAGGTTCTGTCAGTCTAGGCTTGACACAGCAAGTCGTGCCCTAACTCATGTAGCTCATGTTAGAACGGCTGCTTAGTCACTTGAACTGTCCTACGCTTGACAGCCTCCAAGTTTAAGCCCCCTATATTTACTGTGTCGGACTTCGCCTTTCTCGATATCGCTATCATTTACAATTTCGTGATTTTCTATGGCCTCTGCTTGTTGCCTGCACAATTTCGTTATGTACCCGAAATCATAAACATACAGTAGCTGGTAAGTCAAAGTCAGAGTCTGAGTTACTTTACGACAATCGGTTTACTGCCAATCAGTTCATATTGGCTCCAAGCCCCTTGAGGTTCATGACCATCGATTTTGTCCATTTGCAACTGAAACCTTGAGGTCATAGTCCTTATGTAATAGTCTTTCTAACGGGAGGATGCCTTTGTCCCTTATCAATGAGCTTTGCCTTTTTCAAGTGTGCGTATTCCAAATATAGTATGTTACCGGAAATTCTTCCTTTCGATTCAAGCTTTGCAGAGCAGACCATTTCTACTTGTCTTATGCTACAACGGCAGCTGAGTTATTCGAACGGCCGTAAGCTTGACCGCTGCTAAGTTCCTACTTGGAAAGTCAGAGTCAGTGTCAGAGTAAGAATTACTTTACGACCGACGGTATACCGCCAATAATTTCGTCTAGAGGACAAGCCCCTTCAGAATCACGACCAGTAATTTTATTTTCCAACTGAATACTTGCGGTTATCTTATGTAACATCCACTCTGACGAAAGGATGGGTCTGTCATTTACAATTGCTGCTGGCACTCGCCAGCACAGTCCTTCTCAGATCCGAGTCCTGCTAGATTCATGACCACATTTTACTCTCTCAGGTTCAAGACTCCCGCAACCTGGAGGGCCAGTTCCCCGTATTTATATCCACCATGAACAGGGTGGCCCAGTTAGACCCCCTGGCACTGGGTTCCCTTTTCGTCGCCTCCTACAACTCACAGGGCTACGGTGGAGGTATTTTACCCCGCCTCCACACAGGTTTACTTGAAAAGTTATGTGCAAATCTCGGGTATATAACCTCGACATGGACCGCATAGAAATTACCACCTCCAGTAGTTCATCCATTGTTGCGTAAAAGTAAAGTAAAGCTATCCCTGTAACAGGCCATGAAGGCCCCTAGGGCTGTGCGACGTTGATGATCCCACATTATCTAAACAATCGGCTCACAGATGGCGACAAGTTTGTCAGCCCTACGCGCCGGCCGCGCTTTACTCCCCAGGAAAATTATTTAATTAATTCCTGGTACTCATTTCTGTTAGAGGCTGAGTCGATCCCAGGGCCATAGTGCGGCCAGAAGGATTAGGTCAATTGAAAAAAAAATCCATTGACCTCATCGGGACTTGAACCCGCGACCTTCCGGCTTGTAGCATAGTGCCTCAACCAACTATGCTACCGCGTGCTCCCATTGTTGCGTACATATCCGTTATCTTGCAATACTCGTTAATATAGCTGTTGCCTCGCAATGGACCTTGTAATCGTGACACAATAAGAATCCAGTGACAATCAAGTTATGAAACTAGTGAATTTCATAGGAGCATGGGGACTGAACCAGAGACGGTTCATATTCCTGTAATACGATGTGGTTGCTGAACATTCTGATGTGCTAAACCCCTCAGTGTTTGATGGCTAAGCTTAGGTTACATTCCTAAGTGAGTGCTAATACTAATTCTTGATCATGAACGAGAAAAAACTGATGTTCTCACAACCGAAGATGAAATCTGGAAAACTGACTAGTCTGTTCTGTTTGACGTCTGGAATACCTAAACAACTAATTGCTACTGTTCAAGGATAAGACTTCCTCATTCACAAGTTCTGTGCAGGAGTAAAGCCTTCCAAACAAAACTGCTTTTATTCTCAAACAAGTAAAAAAAAAAAACTCCGTGGTTCTAGTCCACAAGCAAACTATACCGACCGAGCGACCGCGGCTTGTCGGCGAATTTAATGCCAACTTTAGCTGATTGAGAGAGTCGAGTGGTCAGCGCAACGAATCCCAACGGCCGTTAATTTCGGTTTTCTAGACCGGAGACGCTATTTCCTTGAAATAGCTCTTCAGTTATCCTCAGAAGTTTGAGTGGACCCCATTCCAGACCCACTACTTCTCAGAAAATCTGGTAGCGCCGGGAGTCGAACCCTGACCTCTGGATCTGTAGGCAGACACTCTGACCTCTAGAACAAAGAGGTGGTCCAAGCACATTAATGGAAGTAACTTTATAGATGAAGAGTTGTATCTATTGGGATGTAACATCAGGTTGCCCATTGAAAGTCAGTCGACCCATCCAATAATGCCTCTAAGTCTGAATAGTGACAAAGAAGAGGCGTCTACCTTCTCACTATATTCTTCCATACAGAAAACTGAAACTTATGTCATAAGAATATTCATTGTTATAAAGTTCTAAATGAAAACATAATATAAAATTATAAAGAGTAAACTTCCATTTCACATTATTTCTTAGCTTATGATAGATATTTGAGTTTCATAAACTGGCCATTGTATAAAATATATTGCTGGTCACTGCTCTGTTTTTTCTAAAAGACTGATTGATTGATGGATCATATACCTGATACTGATTGGGCGACTGATTGATCCTACTTAATTAGGCTATTTAAACTATAGAGGATATAGAGCATGAGTGAGATGGGCAAGAAATCGTTGATAGAAAGTAGTTAAGAATCTGGACAGATGTAGTGACCTATTTGAATATCGATTACCATACATACCTTCCGTTTGAGAGACTGAGGAAAACTATGAAAAACTGCAGTTAGTGATGAGATCCCAACAATTTAATTCTGTAATAAAATGTCAGTTCTAATACAGCAACAAAACTTACAAATTCTGGCACAATTTATAAGTATTACAAATTCTGTCACAATTTATAAGTAAAAAATAAATATTATTTTCATGGTCCCTTCATATCATACTGAGATTAGACTAGAAATATAGAATGTTTTTACAGCGATTGTGTTCACTCTGGCGGGGATTGAGAAGACGAGTATATTTGTTCACCTTTGTACCGTATACGAGTATATACCATATGTTCCATGCAGGACTCATACTGAGGCATGAGCACTGACAGTATTTACATTTCTGGTAACAGACATGTAGACTGCACACACAGGTCACATGTAAAATGTAAAGTAACATGATCTGGGTAGAGCTTGTGATATCTGTTTTCCTTTAACACTGCAATCTGTCCTGTGAAGATAACCAGACCACAAATTATTAACTGTATAATTCAAATGCTTCTTTCTGTGCATTAGGACAAATTCCATCTCATTCATTTACCAATATAACATCAAACTTTCAAACCATCATGATGTTGGTAACTGTAAACATAAAAAATCTGTTCATACAAAATTTATATGAATATTTGTTATATGTCTCAACATAAAAGTCATATGCCTATCAGTGATTCAAGGGTTACCGTTATAAAATTAATTTCTTATTGTATGAGTATTTAACAGTTTTTCCCAACTGTAGATGTAGAATTAGGAAAATAACAACTCCTTAATCAGAACAGTCAAAAATAATTTAGAGCCATGTTAAACACTGCATGACACAATCAATAATATTTTATACAAATCCAATTAATGAACACATTTAAAGTGGAAATGTATGAAACTACCAGTCTGCTGGTGGACACAAACCTAAATCAGTCCCATCCACCACCCATTTTCAAAATGTGTCTCAATAAGGTCGATCTTGGTGTCATCCCACTTCTTATAAGTCTTCCAAGTGACCATATCCTTAGAGGTTTCCTCACCAAAATACTAAGAGTAAAATAGAATTTATGGTTATTTTCTTGCATGCATGCAGCCACAAAACTGCATGCACTCAAACTATTCAAATGGCTGGACGAACTTGGAAGGATCAGAAAATTCAGACTGATACCATCACTACCTCACAACGTTTGTATGTAATGAAGTCAGAGTCAAAATCAAAGTTATGTTATGTTCAATAGTCAGTCAGCCAGTCTCTCTTGGTGTCAGGCCACATCTGGGGCCCAAGTCCAGATATTTGTTGCTGTCAGACAGTTGCAGAACGTGGGACTTGAAAACAAGGATCACTGTGCTGGCGTGGGTGAGAAGCAATTTAAGAGTAAGTCAGTCATGAGGGGGCATTTTTAGACCAACAAACAGCTAATGAAGACATAACAGATTGAGTCTTAGCTTGTGCTGTAATGATTTGTTAAGTTTGTAGATTAGCTGTAGTATTATAATTATTTGTATTTATAGGTTGGTGGGGCTCTCTCTTGTCAACGTGTGTGTAGTCTTGTCATTACTCCGATGACAACCCACTTCTTCGGAACAATTTGTTGGCCCTGAAAAGGACCGTGGTTGCTGAGATGATTGATCGGTGAGGTAGCGCGGCGCGCGCCGGTAAGGAGAAAGGCTGGTTGCGGTGAAAGGCTTGGCGAAAGGCTAGTGGAAAGGCTAGTCGTTGAGCGCGGTCGTAGGAGTCGTGAGGCAGTGGCTACGCCAGAAGCCCAGTGGGTCGGACCGTAACACGACCCACCGGCGAGTCCAGGCGCTGTGCCCCAGTGAGTCGGGTGTGAGAGCGCTGGAGGGCCGAGGCAGTCGTGCCCGGCGCAGCCTGCCGATGTCTCCGAAGACCGAGCGCTGGCGACGAAGCCTGCTGGCTGAAGTTGCTTGCTGTCTGATGAACTGAATTAAACTGCATAACTCGACTCTGGGGTCGCTCCTTTTTATACGCTGGTCGGTGGGGCGGAGCCAAACTCGAAAGTGAGGAGCAAGAATTGATTGGCTAGCGCGCGTAATGGTGTAGACGCGGGCTATCGCCGAGCGTAGTATAAATGCGATCGTTTGAAGCAATCTGATTGGTTAGCGCGCGTGATGGTGAAAAGTGATGTGAAGAGCGAGCGTTGCAGAAATGCGTGATAATGTGGGATGTTCCCACAGGTTATAAGCCTTCTTTAAATCCAACTATCAATCTAAAACCCATGTCTAACCACTAACACATGACAATATATTTGCCATCATACACAGCATTGGTCTTTTTTTTTTAAGACACTGACAGTGCCTAAATATAAAATTGCAAGCCTATCATTCCTTGTAAACAATAAAAATGTGGTATTGAAAGTGCCATCTGCCTGAACTTCATATGACAGAAAAGCTGTGGATGCCAACTAGACCTAATGTATTTAAATGGGCTTTCCTCCTCTATTTAAGGACTGTACTATAAAAACATAATTCATGTGTAGGAAATTCATAAATTCATTGCACTACTATATTTAATCTCTTTTATTTATTCTAATCTAACTGACTTGGATGTATGCATCAATAATAATAAATAGGTAAAGAACTATTATGAATCAATAAATCAGTAAGTTAATCAAAAGAGTTCAATACATGAAATTATATTTAGAGAAGAAGTTTTAACTGTCCTTTCATTCATGAATGAAGATATTCACCTATAATTCAATGACACCAGAACTTAGTTTTAATTTTTTTATTTTCAGAGTACTATGGATGTGGAGAATGGTTTCTTCCACTAGTGAGCAACATAGTGCCAGGCAACCAAACCACTGGATTCCACGTGAATCACAGAAGGGCCTTCTGCTCTCATTAATCTGGAAATATGTAGGGCATTGCAATCTGTTCCACAAAACCATGTTGTGGGGCTAGGTTACTGTTTGTGAATTCTGTTCATAATCTTCATATGCAAAAGAAATATTTTAAGTAGCCATCTCTTTACCCTGACACAGATCTAAAGCAGTGTCATGCAATATTGCCAAAATAATATTCTCGGCATTTTATACTCACTATATTTTCAGTGACAAGCAAATAAGAGCTGAACTGATGTCAGTATCCAATGATATACTGGATATTTGACAACTGAATTTCCAAAACTGATACAAAGGACAGATTGGTACATTGTACGTTCATATTATGAGCAGGACTAAACCTTGAATGATATATTTATATGTAGTAATTGTTACCTGAGACCTTGATGGAATGCAACTTTTCCAACAGACTCAATCATTCTTTTGTGCACGGACCATAGTTTGGATTTGTTTTAAAATGTTACATGATATATCAAGAAGTTTTGTTGGATTAACATTTGCATGTCTAGATATAATGTTACCACTACTCAGTCAATCTTAACAGTGTTTTAAGGTAATTAAATGAATACCAATGTTACACTCATCGGTAGTTAGATATTATTGCTTAAATTTAATTCACTTGTTTATATTATTGTCTTATACTGTCTTATTTGCAATACAAAATCTTTATGAGGGATTCTCAATTGATTTTCTGTCACAACCCAGTATACTGCATAAGAAGAGAGCATTACTTATTCCATTAACTTCGTCTTAAATATATTTCAGTAATGCTATAGACATTGTTAGAGAGAGGCCAGTTAAGTGCTAAATACGACTATTTTTAATGAACCATAAACTGTAGGGAACTATAATCATGTTTCTTTAATATACACATATTGGTATAGATTTGAAGCTTTAAGCATGTTATATTTGGGTTGTTCAACTTCTAACCTAATCCATTTATGATAACATCTGTTCTTATTATTATTGGCCTAATTTAGGATACTGAATTCTTACCAATAGCTTAATAATATGAGTGGACATCACTGAAAATCGATTATTGTAGCATGTGATTTATGCATCCACATACATAATTCAAAGCACTGTTAAGACGTCTGGATACGCTACTGAAGTCCTTGTCAATTAAGCATTAGCCTGATTCAAGACGGACGTTATTTTATTTGTTGAAAACTGTAATTATTTTAAGAAATATTCTGTTCCTATAACATTTGACACTGTTGCAGATATACATATATGTAAGTTGACCATATGATCACTAAAGGAATAGATGAGATCTACCAGTAGTTTGGAGTGCCTAAGAGACATCTTCAGCAATTTTAAATTTCAATTCTGCTCTCATATTCCCAACATTTTGTAATATTTCAAATATTGCTCGATTAAAATGTTAATGAAGATATGATAGTCATATTTCAGCAAATGATGGGTTGAATATTTTTAACTTTAATTTCCTTCTCACTAAGCTTCTGAACCTATTTTGAATGTGGCTTTCCTTTAAAATTTGCTCCATAATTTCAAACATTAAATAAAAATATTGTGCATATTATCAACGCCTTTTTCTTCTAGCTTTACATAAATCAATGAAGATGTACATTCAGACCAGTAAATGGATGTAGCAATCACTTAAAATAACCCACTTAAACAAAAAAGATACGTATATAAACTTGGAAGTGAAATACCTTCCAACAGTGAAAAATTTAAATATGCTTGTATTATAAAATCATTTCCTGAAGTCAAATATTGCCTAACAATATAAAACCGCAGTTATTTTTACAAATTCCCTTCAAAACTTCAGGAGAGTAAAGTGAAGCAGTGAACATTAAAAAAAATCATAAATAGTATGAACTTATGGCAGAACAGCAACTACAGCTAACTTAACTAATTACCTTCTTGTAACATTGTCAACGACATAAATTTCATAACACAAATGAATTAGCGGTATTTAGAAACAAAATATTCATCTTTGAACTAATCAACATTTCATATAAAACTATATCCCTTGCCTTGTTTTTTTCTCACATTTAATAAAACGTTTATTTTAGATTCTTAAATGCAGTTACTTCATGACTTCACTTCATTTTATATCATAGACCAACACTGACTACGACAATAAACCTAGAAGAAAAGCTTTACGGAATACCATAAACAGAAACTAATGTTAAAACAAATCAGTAAAATGTTGAATTCCTTCAGTATACCCCTCACAGCCACCAAAACTATTGTTCACAATTTTCTACCAAGGCTGTTGTCTGGGATGTGACAATAGTTTGGTGGAAGAGTATCAGCATCTCTGAGGAAACTGCTTCAAGGTACCATGAAGATTCAGACTGCAGGTTCCTCTGAAGCAATGGTTCCAAATACCAAAACTCACAATGTCATATCCCAGGAGACCATGATCTTTAATTTATTTCAGATTTTTTGGAACAAATAATGCAAGAAATTATGCCTCTTCTTAAAAACTTACCCTTTACTTTTATTAAATTGTTTCACAAATTGTTTGCTTTATTTGTATAATGTTGCTTGTGCAATAATACATTTAGAAGTTCTTGAAGCAATCAACTAATATCTAGGTTCTGTTTCCTACTTATTTCAATCTTATTAATATTTTAAACATGATGGAGTAAAAGGAGCTCTATAAAACATAATGAATGTGGCTGCAAAAGACTGTATAAAAATTCCTCTCCTTTCATCTAATATAATGTTACAAATAAAACATTTCCGTATCTTTAGAGATTAATTGACTTGAATTCTCTTTTTTTCAGTTCCATTTTATACTTATATATGAAACAATTTTTAACGTGATAAATATTTTTGACAATAAAGAGGACAATAATTAAACAGACAGTAGTAATAGACTTCATCTATGAATATATTCCCCAGCTGTGTTTCGGTTTGTACATATTCTTCAAGCAATTTACTTCAGTCATGTAATAATGTAATGTAACATTTGCAATATAGTGAAGATATGGGACTATAAAATTAAATAAATAATGTATAATGGTACAACAGAACACCATGAAAACCATGTCAAAATATTGAGATATGCCTGATTCCAATCAAATGAATCAGTTATATTTAAATTTCCTTCACTTCAAAGTATAATCATGGTTTTAGGTAATAATAAGGAGTGCCATGATTTGTATATTTATCCAGGTATGAAAGCAAGAGGCCAATTGAGACTCTTAAAGTGTAGGTGAGAGGGTAATTTTAAAGCATGTATTAAAAAATACTGTGAGGGTGTGCACTAGACTCTGACTCCTCAAGCTATGATTTGGGAATGGATTCTTGTGAATATGGAAAGACCCACTGTGTCCCTAAGAGGGAAGGAACCCCTTCACTGTCTGGGCTACTCTCAAGGAGTACTCAAGGAGTACTCTGCTGTGGATTTAGCCTACTTATTTTATAATTATCTTACAGTTAATTTTGTTCTCCAGCTCCATTCAGATGCTATGTCTAAGAAACAAATGATCTTAATAGAATTAAAAGGGCATAATGTATGTCATTTTAAGAATTCTTACCACTAAATAATGGCCTCAAATAAGTACATTTCGTTGATATATATCTGTTACAACATAAAGATTCAGCAAGTAACAGATACATTTACAAAATTTTCCACTCGTTCACAAGTGATTTCTAAAAATGTCATCATCAGCATTACTAAAGGGTGTGATGAGATTTCTTTGTCCACTGGAGCAGTTTAAAATTAATGTTTACCTCTGTGTTGGTGGTTCTGCATCTATGAAATATTTGAAGTCCCATTCAAGGCAGATTTCTAGGTTCACAGCTATAAAACAGTTCAATTACTTTTCAGAAAATGGAACCTTTTTACAGGTCAAAGCACTTATGGTCATAAACAAGACATTCATACTATGAGAGACAGAGTATGTACAAGGATGAGAATTTCAAGATACGCAGACAAGTGTAATACAAGTGACAAAAATTACATTTTTCACTACTCACTAAGTATTCAGGAGCTTTCAGGATGACTGATTTCCTGATCCAAGCCAAGTTATCATTCTGATCAGTTAAACATGACAAAACCTGAAACTTTTTTCTTTTCCAGCCATACCTTCAAGTAAATATCAGCTATACCAATTTTCCTCTAGAATTAAATTCATATTACAACACAGGGAATGTGTCTGAATTATACTGCTTACAATAATATATTAACGTTACAATAATAAGATATTACACAATGAATGTCATTGCCCTTTCTCATTTGAACAGATACCGGTATTTTCCATTGATTTCTTCATTGTTAATGTCATTATTATCGTGAAATTAATTCAAATTTTAACAGAATATTGCAGAACCCTGCTGATAAAGAAAACTAATTCTTCCAGCATTTAGAATAGAGTGTATTTTTTAAAATAAACCAGATATATAATGACAGATCAAAATTGAAAAAAATTACTTCAAGAAAATTTGACAATAAAAAAAAATTCCACTCCATGAAAGTAACAGAAGAGTAATTCTGGTAGAAGTATTCCATATCTGAATTGAAGGCTTTAATGTTAAGAATGTCTGAGATGTAAGAGAGAGAAGAAATACTGGTTAATTTGCTATTGACCAAACTGAAATCTCTCTGTCACATTGCTGATAATAACTGCCATATTGATATATGGGGCCTATCATGAATTTTGTGTTCCATTTTTAAATCAATATCAACTCATGACCAGTAATTCAATTAATAAGCACCTGTACTGTAGTAATAAAATTGTGGATCTCATTACATGATCTGCAAGAATCAACCATAATGGTTACTAAAATAGTCAGGAAAATAATACAACAAGGGAGAACGCATAAGCTATTTTAGATACTCCTGGTCATGTTTTATGATTTATCGTGTTATATCAGACTGACAGATAAAATGCTTGCTGCTTTTACTTCCTTATCCATATCACATGATATTAAGTCACTCTGCATTTTCTTCTGTAAATAAAACGTTGTCATTTTAAAGTCACTTGAAATTTATATTTTTTCTTAACTATTAGAATGCATTTGATTAATTAGGTGAATAACGTAAACAGGTTTACTAAATTTTAAATCACTAGAGATACATTACATGTGATAAGTATGTATTACTTCAGTAGGAGGAAGATTGAATTTTGTATGTGTTATTAACTGTGTGATTACACATTATACTATATGTGTGTGTAGAAAACATGTGTGGATTACACACATACACATATATATACATTCACACAGTCCTGAAGCAAATTGGTGTCTATTAGTAGTTGTGTTATTGTGATTATATTGCAATTTAAAACCAATTACAGTACACAATGAGTATGCAAAGAAAACATGTATGGTCAGCTCATTATCTTCGCTGAAAATGTGATTTATGATAGATAATCTTTATTTGTTCAAAATACATCAAATGTTCTAATAGCTGAGGATTTTTATGTGTTCACTTTATGCAGTGCTTCATAAATTGATCTCTATTTTGTCACAAGAATAGTTTCAGCTATTTATATGGAAGACGGGATTGTGCAAGAATTACTGATATTTTTGCGCAGTGTACTAAGAATTAAACAGAGTAAAGGCATTTTTATAAAGTATCCTACACTGTTTTCATAAATGTTGCGATATATTCCACAATTTTGTAGTTGTGATATAATTTCCTGTACTGTGCTGAAATAATTCTCATGTCTGGTTGGCTCCTCCTTGTCTTTACAACACAGTTCCTTCTGATTACATTTTCTTGGACTTGCAAATATGAACATTATTTCAGATAATTTATATTGCCTCTTGAAACGAAAGCTTTGCATTTTGATATCTGGATTTTAAATGTACCCTTCAAAATTGTACATTTCTTTCAGACCTGTGGTATAAAAATAATCCTTTTAATTGAAAAAATAAAGAGCTATCCTTTCACCATGTTATGAAGGCCCATAGAGTTTGAGATGTCAAGGCTCCCACTTTTTCTAGACATCAGCTCACAGATGACGGTGAGATTTTTATCCTTATGCTCTGGCAGGCCTTTAAACCCAGGAATCCACTTAACAAAGAGAATCTATAATGAAGTGCAGCATAAATTACACCACTGAACCTTACCGTTTCACACTAAGTCATGACACATTAAAATGATGTAAAATATTTCATCCCCCTTTACATCTACAAATAATATTCCCAACTTAATAGTAACTAGCTAAATAAAAACTAACTCAATAGAGCTGAGCCCTTCTTGAGAAGCCAGCAATCGCTCAGCTACTTGAAGAATATTAAAAAATTTCATGGAACCTGAAGAGCTTCCCATTGGTCTCTACCTGAGTCAGTTGAATCTAGTCAATACCACTCCATCCTATTTATCTAAGATCCAGTTTACTATTATCATCCCATTTAATTATAGGTCTTCCCAATTGTGTCTTTCCTTCTGACTTTCTCACCAAAATCCTGTAAGCATTATTCCCAAATTATATTCAGAAATATCCTATTTATCTAAGATCCAGTTTACTATTATCATCCCATTTAATTATAGGTCTTCCCAATTGTGTCTTTCCTTCTGACTTTCTCACCAAAATCCTGTAAGCATTATTCCCAATTTATATTCAGAATAATTAATTCACATTATTTGCTTTTCACCATATAAATAAAAACCTGGTTGTATCGCATAAAGAAGTTTTGAATATTATATTGTCATTAACATATTCAGAAATCTCTTGGATTCAGGCCAGCGTTCACAAAAATCACATTCTAATAAAATGTAATGCCCAGTCCACCAACCTCAGCATCATAAAATATAATTAAATAAAAATTTTCTTGATTCTTTGTCATGAAGAAATAAATTTTGAAGGGAGATCATCTGTCAGATAAACTCCAGTATTAAGAATATCACGTTATAGTAGATCACCAAGTAAACATACAGCAGTAGCCTCTCACTGTTTTTATTTTCCAAAATTGACTCGTTTAATTCTACTTTCAGCTGAAACATTTCACAGGAGATGCATCAGACAACTCAAGTGACATGAAAATGATTTGTTATAAATCTTATATTATTCCATAAAGGTTGAATTTATATAAAAATCCTCAGAATAAGATATAATTAATTATGTTAACAAAGATATATTTATATAAATTATTAATTACTGAATACTCTCGCTTGTAATCTATGCATGCTCTGACACATGAATTTACACATACTACGATGTACAGAATTATTTCCGATTCATTGTTCTCACAAACAACACATAATTTTATATTAGAAATTTAATAAATATGTGTGATGAGGAAAAACCTATAATGTGCCAAAGGACAATAAGACAGCCTTATTACATGATATCATCCACTGAGGCAACTTGTAGGAAGGAATGTGTTCTTTATCACTGATGACAATTCTACACTTAGAGGCTTCATTTAAAAATGTTGTCTTCTATATGTGTATGAAGATGGGAATGATAATGAACAAAGAATACAAAAATAAATGTATGTTTAACTACTTCCTTATCTTGTTTCAGTACTGACTTTTTCACGATGGCCTAGAATATCAACTCTTTGCAACACCATTCAATTTCTTTGGATACAAATTTTATCTGATCAGATACTTCATATGTTATTTTTACAACACATTTTAGTACATTAAGTGAAGACAAGGAAGATGCATTTTACTACATTCTATTGTTATAGGCTGAGATAAGAGATGCTGACTCTGATTTTGTACAGAATTACATTATATGAATTCAAAGACAACTAATATCACATTATTTTAAAGTTGCATGTATTATTTAAGGTAACACCTCAACTGCTCTGCTGACAATATTTTTAAATCTTGGCTCCTGCTATAATATCATGATACGAAACTTATAATCATTTGAAGTAAATAATACCATTCATATTATATAATTGTGTGCATGTAGATGACAGTAAGGTTAAAACATGAGATTTAGTAAGAAAATATAGACAACACAAACCAGTTAATACAAGTCTCAATTATATTGTGCCCAGCTTCTTATGACAGAGGTCTAACAACCGAAATACAGTCAGTTATTCACTGGCTTCCTGTTTTGACTAGTTATGATTTGTCTTCCCTTGCATGTTGCATAGAAAATATAGGAGGTATTTTTCAGTGAATTTCCTTTCATTGTGAGCTCTATTTCAATTCAACTGATAATTAAAAAAATATATATATAGGCTATTAATTTACCAAAACAGTCATGTATTATGGTTATTATGTTTATGTTATGCCACAAAATTTTAATGATTCCCTTGTGAACATAATCATTAAGTACTGTATCTCACACTGATCATCAAGTGCCATGCATTGAAAATATGCCTAATATCACTTTATATTAATTAACATATCTTGGGAGAGTTCTTTTGTGTTAATTGAAGTTCTCATGCATATGTTTATTCAAATTTTAATTGAATAATCTCAGCTCATACATTGATAACATTCTGGAGTATACAATCACAGGGATGTAATAAACAATATCCATAGATGAAATACCCTCCAATATGCATTCATAAATAAATCACTGTAAAAAATATGAAAAGTATTCATTCCATAAACTTCCACATGTCAGCCATATTCTGACATTTTCCTCAATATATGACTCAGGATAATATAAATTTTTGATCCATTATGAAAACTGATTTTTAAAAGAACAAGTATCACTTCAGTTTATAAGACAATGGACAATAAATATAAAAGATAAGGAAAGAACATACTCCTTCATACATTTTAACATCAATGGAAATCTTAACATACCACAGTATTTAGGGATTTATATGTATTTTTATTTTGTAATGCTCTGCAAACCTATGCAAGAACTGCCATAATAAATCAAGTGGTTACTGACAATAAAGGAGCAAAATACAGTATAACTGTAAAATGAAGTAGCTGAAAAATATATCATACAAATTCTGCAGAAGTAATATAGTGCTACAGTCTACATATACAATGAAGTCTGTTGCATATATGCAGATAAAATATTATGAACACAAGAAAATAAATGTCAAGATGAGTACAAATAAAGCTGTTCTTGGAACTGAAAGTCTAATTGTTGGGTGATTTCTTCAAATTCTATACAATAAACATTACGTGGAGAAAACTGTCATTCTCTGTATGTGTATTTCCACTGATTCGTACATTTCCTACAGTTATGCATATTGGTGCAAATTCACTGTATCAGATTAAATTGCATATCATTAGGTTTTAACCAATTCTTCATACAATTTGAACTGACTGTGGTGACTCGTGTGAAATTCATATGCTTTAAGGCTTAAAATATAAGATAAAGAAACGAGTGGTTAAGCAACAGGTGTGATTGTATTTGGGACGTGCAAAAAATGTAACGACCAAATGCAAAAGTAAATGGTGACAATTCATCTCCTGCATATCTTAGCCTCTCAATTCCCATGCCTATCAATATTT